AAAGTGTCCCAAAATGTGTGGGTTGTGGGGGGGGGGGAGGAATCGTATCGGTTGGCTATTATCGATGGGTCGATACTGTATTTTCCATTATTCGAAAGCGTTAATGAAACAAGTATCCGCGTGAAAAATGCTCGCCAACGCAAAGAGTAAGAGGACATGAACAAAAAGACAAAACAAAAAAAAAACAGAAAAAAAATCAAATAACAAACAAAAATTGGATCTTTCGTATTAATTACATTAGCAATTATTTCATATGATATTTCTTAGAGAAATGTTACGATCCATTTATCGTGGCTAGTTGCCCGCCCGAATTCTTTATCTTTTAGCTTTCTCTGAAGGAATCGCTATAAAACGCGCGCGCGCGCGCGAACGCACGCACGCACGCACGCACACTCACCCACACACGCCGAAAGAAACAGGAAATCATCGAACGCTGCGACTTCTTCGTCCGCGCTATTCAGGGTCAGACTTTGGGCGCAGAAACGATCGTCCCTTATTTTTTTACGGCGTCGCGTTTAAAACAATTATATTGCCGGTGGACTCGAGCCCATCGAAAGCCCGGTCCCGTGAAAAATATGAAAAAGAAGAAGAAAAAAAAGCTGGAAAGTACCGTTGGTTCGAAAATAATGTACTTGTCGAATTATTTGGGGCAACGTTGTGCCTTTTAAAAGTACAGGGCAAAGGAGTTTCATATTTTATTGAATATCGAGAGAGTAATTAAATTCGCGAGTATTTTCATCCGGATAAGTTATGCAGCTCGAAGGAAAGATTAAAGAAGCGTATCGTAATGCTCTTGTAGTCAATCATCTTGTAATCAGGAGTTATTTAGGCGGTAATATTAAGATGTTATAAATTTAGATTTTAGAGAAGGGGATGTGGGTTGGGAGGGGGGCGGTGAATGACAAAAATCTCTTTGATAAATCGCATTCTTGGCCTTGATGTATCGGGCCTTTTCAACGTATACGATCCCGAATATTTTCACTAAAAATTACAGATACGTTCGTAGACGCGAATTTGTGCAAGCTTCGAGCTTTCTTTCATTCTTTTTTCTTTTAAAGATCAACTGCCAATACAGCACACGATTTTAGACTTTCGACTTTGGTCTTCGAATATGCCTGGATGAAAAGTTTATGAATATTATGGTTTCCCGATAGTCTCGATATTATCGAGAGGGAACAAAATTATAATTCATCCGCAGGAGCTATTATACGCGACCCTAAGCCTAACTTGCCATTCGATCGTATCAACCCCATGTTGCAATATCTTCATGAATCAGTTGAGATTAATTAAACAGGACTGTCCTGGCCGTGGAAATATTATTTACGGCATTACGGACCATTGGTATTCGATTTCTCATAAACCAATTTCAAGTTGCAATAATGTAAATCTGACTTGAAAAAAATTAAACGCGAAGGTTCTGCGACGCATTGAAAAGCGATAATGACACTTAAGGGAAATATTCGAATTATCTGGCGCTCGTCGTGCATATTGAAAATTCCGTAAATAGTTGCGCATGGCCTGATCGCGAGCAACCAATACGCCTACAATACCTGCTCAACAACTTAATAGCCATTACACGTATTAAAGAAATTAAAAGAGAGAGGGAGAGAGAGAGAGAGAGAGAGAGAGAGAGAGAGAGAGAGATGAAGAAAAAGAGAGCAATGTCTCGTCGAGACTCAATCACTCAATGCCTATGCCCATTTGCGCGTACTTCATGTAGTCGACTTCACATACAGCGATGTTCCCCGCGTCTTTCGACTGCCCCTCCATCAACGATTATCCCCTCACGACTTCGTCTTCCTCCTGCAACCACTACTGACCCTGAGACTGTGTTAGTGTCCCCCCCCCCCCCCCCCCCCCCCCCCCCCCCCCCCCCCCCCCCCCCCCCC